CGACCTCTTTCCCTGTAGTCCCACATTGACGGAGCACAAGAAGAAGTGCTCTTGCGCCCCGGCCGACGACCTGTTTCCGTGTACCCCGATTGCGATGGAGCACACGAAGAAGTGCTTTTACGCCCCGCCGTACGGTCTTTTTCACTGTACTCCCATCTTGATAGATCGCGTTTTGTTGAATTTTTCTTCTTGAGCCGACCTCTCGGATTTTCCTTCACTGCAGGTTCTATGTATCCCTGTTGATCAGGGTGAAGTTGAGAGTCGATGAGATGGTTCAGGTACCGTACAGTCGCAGGTTCGGCCGCTTCAACCTCCTCGGCGAGCCTCCGAAAATAATCATGATCAGTCCATCATCTCGCTGATGCACTCTGCTGACCTGTCCGTACCAAAAATTTAAAGAATTATACAATATGCTCTATCAAAATTTCTATAAATTAAACAAAATTTAGGAGAAAAAAAATGTTGAGCATGATGTTCTATAGATTTATTAATCTCGCAATTATACCTGGCTGCGTCACCTCTAGTGTGCTCCAGAAGATGTGGATGTCGTTGGTCGTAATATTTCTACGTACAGTGTGTGCCTCCCTTAGCTCACAGGCACAAGGAAGTCCATGAGTGTATTTTAGTGCACAATCGCAGCGCTCCGAAACATCTTTGCCGAAGTCTCGCATGTTCTGAAGCTCATCATTCAACTGCTCGAAAGGGAATCCCCTGTAGCCCGTACTCATCCTAAGTCTCGAAGACTCCAGCGTCTTCCTGGTAATACATTACATAACATAACATTCGACCCAATTAAAATTTATAATTAATGCATTAATAACACAGTCTTACTGTATAAATTAAAAAATATAACTGACTTTAGTCAGTTGAGAATCAATCTCCTTGTCAATCTTCTCCCAAACCGTGTCGAGCGAACCAGTCGACGTGTTAAGCCACCGTTTCAACGTAGCGTGGGAACTCTCCACCCTACACGACGTTGTGTTGCCAAAATGTAAGACAGTGTCCGTCCACACTTTGACAAACTTCTCCTTGTGCACTAGCCATGTCTGATCCACATATTCCAGCACACGAGGAAATGCCGCGTATGTAACAGCCAAATCAGTTACGGCAGTTTTGTATTTGTCCCATGTGTTCGCCTCGACAACCTTTTTCCACTTGTTGTGCGTGAACTTCTGCGCGAAGATCTTATTATTAGTTGTGGTTGTGAACGTTAATCGATAGACCCTGTCTTCCACATCCTTGTTGATGTGCCACGTGCAGAGTAAGTGGGGCGTCGTCGAAAAATTCCTCTGAATAGGAGTGATCAACCCCAACTCCCTGTCACTGACAATGACTGTAGGATGTACATCAAGCCCTATCAGAAGTCTCAACCGCTGTAGGACCCAGTCATAGTTGTACTCGGTCTCGTCCTTGATAATTGCATAAGCAATTAGGAAATTCTTGTTGCACGGCGTCATTCCAACCATCTCAACCAACGGTATGTGGTACCTGTGCAAATGAAAGCATCAAGAAGAAAAAACATAGAATCAAAAAACTTACTCAAACATACTATTTTAAGATTCACATTATATTACTATTTATAACGTAATGTAACATACCTGTTGGTTTTGTACGTGGAATCTATATCGACATACCAGTAATATGTCCGGAATAGACTGGCTGCTTCTGGATGCGACATGAACACACGTGTCAACTCCTGTGTGTCCGAGTCAACATCCGTGTCAACATCTGTATAAAATTATTATTATATTACTAATAGAATTTTTAATATATATTATTATATATTAATATAACTTTTTTATATTATATTTTTAATATATATTATTATATATTAATATATATTTTTAATATATATTATTATCTATTAGTAATATATTAATAATTTTTTATATACTAATATATTAATTTTGTTAGTATATACTAATAGAAAGTATTTATAAAAAAATAATATTAGTATTTAGTATTAAATTAATAGTATAAGTAATAGGAAAAATTTATATTAGTATAAATTATTATTATATATGAATGTATTATTTTATAACGTAAAATTTATTGATATAACATTAGAAGTTAGAATTGATTATATAATAAATTATAAATTACAAATTACTATTATTATCTGAGAGAAGTTATAATTCATAATTTTGTAACATTATTAACATACATCGTAACATATTGCAGGTGCCACTCGAAGATTTTAGAGGGGACGGTGAAGATTACCGATCTTGTTTTGCTACAAATGGGCTATTTGATAGTCATGAGGAAGCTATTGAATGGGCAAAAGACATTGCAATGATATGGAATTTCGAATTGGTCATCTCGAGACACGAAAAAGATGGAATGGTTCGGACCTTGAGGTGTCATCGAGGAGAACATTACAGAGGCAAGGTAGGAAAACTAGGAAATCTTGTGAATGCTGTTTTGAGACGTTCGAAGGCTAAATTTACTGGCTGCCCTTTTCTGATAAAAGTCAAATTTGAAGCAAATTCCAAAAAATGGAGTATTTAGCTTCCTTTAGAAGACGAGAAGGGATTTCATAATCATGCTTTGGCTGTGCATCCCGAGGGTCATCGAAAAATGAGCCGACTCAGCGATTCATCCAAAGAGATTGTCCGTGATATGACGGATGCTCAGGCAAGACCGGGAATAATATTGGCTGCAATTCATGAGAAAAACCCAGTGGACAACGCTACTTGCCGACAAGTGTATAACTATAGAGGTTAATAACACGACAACTGCATTAAACAGTGTAGCAATAGCAAAGAGGTCGCCCGTAGCATTCATCCAATGCTCCTCGCCACAAGGACCCCCGTCCTATCTTATACGATCGATTGCGACGTCGACCCCATCCCAATAAAATGGAGCGTACAAATGAATGTTGGCTGCAACCTCATTTGCAATATTTCTTCTTGCCACATCCCACTTCTGTTGATCCCTATAAATGTAACTCGCAACCACCAGAAATCCGCAGTTCCCGTCCGGCGTCACATCCTGATAACTCTGTACGTAGCTGTGAACTACGTAGGGAATCCTACCACGATGTCGGTACTGAAAAAAATCCGTCTCGAATGTATCTGTAATATCAGAATAATTTCACGTCATAATTTAGGTAATTGAATTTACAAACATAATTAGTCATCGTTCAGATAAAAAATAAAATTAAATTACATGTCGGATCTTGAGACGATGAGCTTGTCGGGGCACACGAAGAAGTGCTTGTACGACCCACCGGACGACCTCTTTCCCTGTAGTCCCACATCGACGCAGCACAAGAAGAAGTGCTCTTGCGCCCCGGCCGACGACCTGTTTCCGTGTACCCCGATTGCGATGGAGCACACGAAGAAGTGCTTTTACGCCCCGCCGTACGGCCTTTTTCACTGTACTCCCATCTCGATAGATCGCGTTTTGTTGAATTTTTCTTCTTGGGCCGACCTCTCGGATTTTCCTTCACTGCAGGTTCTGTGTATCCCTGTTGATCAGGGTGAAGTTGAGAGTCGATGAGATGGTTCAGGTACCGTACAGTCGCAGGTTCGACCGCTTCAACCTCCTCGGCAAGCCTCCGAAAATAATCATGATCAGTCCATCCACTCGCCGATGCACTCTGCTGACTTGTCCGTACCGAAAATTTAAAGAATTATACAATATGCTCTATCAAAATTTCTATAAATTAAACAAAATTTAGGAGAAAAAAAATTTTGAACATGATGTTCTATAGATTTATTAATCTCGCAATTATACCTGGCTGCGTCACCTCTAGTGTGCTCCAGAAGATGTGGATGTCGTCGGTCGAAATATTTCTACGTACAGTGTGTGCCTCCCTTAGCTCACAGGCACAAGGAAGTCCATGAGTGTATTTTAGTGCACAATCGCAGCGCTCCGAAACATCTTTGCCGAAGTCTCGCATGTTCTGAAGCTCATCATTCAATATATCCATACAGTAATGCGAGACCCGCAGTGTCAACTGCTCGAAAGGGAATCCCCTGTAGCCCGTACTCATCCTAAGTCTCGAAGACTCCAGCGTCTTCCTGGTAATACATTACATAACATAACATTCGACCCAATTAAAATTTAATATTAATGCATTAATAACATAGTCTTACTGTATAAATTAAAAATTATAACTGACTTTAGTCAGTTGAGAATCAATCTCCTTGTCAATCTTCTCCCAAACCGTGTCGAGCGAACCAGTCGACGTGTTAAGCCACCGTTTCAACATAGCGTGGGAACTCTCCACCCTACACGACGTTGTGTTGCCAAAATGTAAGACAGTGTCCGTCCACACTTTGACAAACTTCTCTTTGTGCACTAGCCATGTCTGATCCACATATTCCAGCACACGAGGAAATGCCGCGTATGTAACAGCCAAATCAGTTACGGCAGTTTTGTATTTGTCCCACATGTTCGCCTCGACAACCTTTTTCCACTTGTCGTGCGTGAACTTCTGCGCGAAGATCTTATTTTTAGTTGTGGTTGTCGACGTTAATCGATAGACCCTGTCTTCCACATCCTTGTTGATGTGCCACGTGCAGAGTAAGTGGGGCGTCGTCGAAAAATTCCTCTGAATAGGAGTGATCAATCCCAACTCCCTGTCACTGACAATGACTGTAGGATGTACATCAAGCCCTATCAGAAGTCTCAACCGCTGTAGGACCCAGTCATAGCTGTACTCAGTCTCGTCCTTGATAATTGCATAAGCAATTAAGAAATTCTTGTTGCACGGCATCATTCCAACCATCTCAACCAACGACATGTGGTACCTGTGCAAATGAAAGCAGCAAGAAGAAAAAACATAGAATCAAAAAACTTACTCAAACATACTATTTTAAGATTCACATTATATTACTATTTATAACGTAATGTAACATATCTGTTGGTTTTGTACGTGGAATCTATACCGACATACCAGTAATATGTCCGGAATAGACTGGCTGCTTCTGGATGCGACATGAACACACGTGTCAACTCCTGTGCTGCCACGTAAAGCTTCCCCAATTCACAACATGCCAGCTGCCTCCCGCTACACCCCGATGCGTGTGGATAAGATGATCCTATCATGCTCCCCGGATGATGATGAACAAAATTGCCGTGCCATCATGACTTACAATTGCCCAGCTGCTATGGCCTACTGCTGCCCTGGGTCCAGCAAGGAGTGGACCTGTATTGTGGATACCAATGTCAGTTTACAGTACAAGAATTGTTTATATTCTAAAGAACATCAACTCTTGTTTGCCCTCACCTGCTCTTATGACTTGGTGTCTTGGGACCTTAGGGACCCTCTGTCCCCGAGTCTCGTTGACTGCCGGAAAATTGATTTTCCGGAGGAAAATAAGGCGTGGCATCCCAAAGACCTGACGTGTGAGACCGGGGAGCATCTGGTGGCTGCTGGGAAGGATCTCCTCATGGTGACTCAGTATGTGCTGATGAGCGTTCTCCCCGACGGTTTGTATATTGACGCGAACAACGATCCCACAGGCTCTATCTACGAACAAGGCTTTCCGTATGTGACTATTGATTTTGATGTTGAGAGATATGATCCTGCGACTGCGGGTGTTAAGTGTGTGGAGGATTCGTTTATGGGTAGGTGGGCTGTGTTTGTTGGGTACTACAGCGATGCAGTTGCTTTGCCAGTGGCCCATTACCTGGAGGTTGTCAAGCCCGGATCCATTTACTTCACTGATGTTTTGAGGCCTTGGATTGGATTTGGCGACTATCCATGTGGAGGCCATGACGTTGGCATTTTCGATTATTGGAAGCAAGACGGTGTCTTCGTGCTACTATCCATGTGATGCTCAGAGCTTGAAAAAGATTTCCCCGGGACCTATGTGGTACTTCCCAAGTCGCGGCTGATTTGACTTTATGGATTTGGATTCTTATGTTTTTCTAGTAATTTATATATAGGTAATTTCAGTTGGGTTTTGATTTTGAACTTTTTGCTAGCATGGCTCTGGTATTGTCTGGTACAAAGTCATTCATTTTCTAGTTCTAGCTGGTGTTTCTCTAAAATCAATGACTTATGCAGTTATGTTAGTGAGTTTTGTGGTTGAATATGTTGTGTGAGAATGGCTAGTAAATGGCTAGTAAATGGTTAATACAATGTCATTACTTTTAAATACTTTCATCACAGTTTTGCAGATGTCCATGATGTTCACGGTTTATTTGATGAAGCAAAAAGTGAAAGAAAGTTTATTTGTGTTTGAAAAATGAAAAGTCCTGTGAAGGATACAAAAATTGAACTATTCGAATTTGTGTAACTGGTCATTTGAGTATTATGAACAAGCAAGCAGACTAACAAGTACTAGATAAACGAAAATTGAAAGCGATATTTCTCTATATGAGTTTAGTTCATGTGTTACTTAAGAACCAATGTACTTAAGAAACTTTTTCTCTTTATTAGTTTAGTTCATGTGTTACTACTATTTATTTCATTGTGAGATATTTTGGTTACTCGAGTTGACTAATTATCTATCCACGTACCAAATGGACATAAACATTTCATTTTCAATGCAACAAACTTGTCATTTAAACAAAACGTAATATCGATACACAATTTAGAAACAAAAACTGAATTCTTTCTAAAACATGACACGTAAAGACAATTCCTCAAAACCAAGATTCTATTTACTACACCACTCCCACTGCAATAGCAGCCACATTCGTAGCATAGCTCATTCTAGATGGTAATCTAACTATCACTCAATCAATTAGTTTCCTAGAACATGTTTACACAATTAGTGGTACTGTATTTATTCACCAGGTACCGATAGATTACACCACAAAAAATGTTTCGACTTTTTCGTGAATCATATTTACCTTATTGTCTTAAGAAAATGACAGTTCGACTTTCTATGTCCCTTTTGCTTAAACTGAATAAGCTCTCCTTTAGGCTCGTACTTTCCTGTAATTTAGGACACTATCTAAGTTCTATTCCTAGTCAAGTTTTCAACAAGTAATTTTCATATTTAAGAACAACGGACAACAAACTGAAAGAAATGTTTGAATAAACATGAGAATCATGAAAAAAATTTACTAATTAAATATTTTGATTTTAACCATTCATATTTATATCCTCAAAATATTGAGAATAACGCATGTCACTATGGGTGGCCGTACGCATTCAACATTCGCAAGAGAAGAATTTTTCATGAACCCAATAATTTTCATAAACCAAAACCAAATTAATGGAGAAGGAAATTAATAGTCGATCTCCATTTAGCCATGATATGGAATATTATATGCCTAAAGAATAAATCGGTTTACCATGTTGATCGTACGAAGCTTGACGTTGGGAAAACCGTATTGGTCGAGCAGTAATCGGGCAAAAAGGAAGTGATCGAGCAAGATAGCAGATATGGTCGATGAGCGACCTAGCAAAAGGGGGCTCGGTCATATCGAGCACTCGACGGGTGAAGAGCAATCGAGGGCGTGGCTTGGACGCAGGAGAGCGCGTGAACTTTGTCAGAAAATCCCAACGGAATACGCAAGAGAATAATCACTCTTTGCTCAGAGGGACACGTGGCGAGAGTACATTGGTGCAGAGCGATAGTGGCGATAACCACCTCTGACACCTCTGACACACGCACACTGTGTGTGTACAGACGAGCAGCACGGGTAGGACAACTCACCAAATCCGGGCAGCTCCTAGGGCAGGTATCTCACTTCTATATATAGGAGTGAGCCCTTTCTTGTTACTTACGATTTATCCATTATATTTTTTAGAGAATTGAGTAAAATTTACACTGACTTAAGCATCGAAGGCTCTTCACCGGAAAAACCCCCGGTGTGAGAGTTCTTTGCAGGTACGTGACGTTCTACCGGCGAGGAGGAGGAAGACAAGCCGATTTCAAGCCGGTCGGAGTGTTTTGCGTTACCATTTGGCGCCGTCTGTGGGGACTTTCGTTCGAAAAGTGGTGTGCTGAGATTACTGAAGCTTGGTGGCTATGGCGGACGGAATTCCTAGGAGAGATTTGCAAGCATCATTCGACGAAGCGTGGACGATGACGAGGCCGTTCGGAGAAGGCCCTCCTCCGGGCTTCTCTGGACCCTCGCGTACACCGGTGACTCCGACGCCTGTTCCCCAAGGTGCAGGAGTCACGCCGGTGCAACCAGAGGCCGATGTGGGCTCAAGCCGAGCTCAGGAGCCCGTACGACTCAGGGAGTGGCGATCCCGACGCTGCTGCAGCCAGATCTGACCGTGGCGCCGCAATAAGGAGCGGTGGTGCAGGGAGTACCGCCACCGCGTATGGAGGACCACCGCCCGGCGCAATAGGTGGTGATGACTAGGCATGAGATACAGCAGATGGTGGCGAACGCGGCGGCACAAGAAGTTCAGCAGGTCACGCAGAACCTTTCTCGAGTGGCGGCTGGGCCCATGATGGCGGAGGAGGATGTGTCTAGCTATGGGGGAGATGGAGCTCCGCGAGATCGAGAGATGGAAAGACTCGCGGAGCAGGTGAGGCAGATGCAAGCCAAGATGGATGGTCGACCTGAGAGGCGTGCTCGAGGACACCCGTTCTCGAGGGAAATATTGGCTGCACCATTACCCGCAAATTTTAGAGACATGAGTTTGGTGTTCGATGGGACTTTAGACCCGTCGAGGCATGTGAGGGCGTTTAAGAACTTAGCTGTGTTACATGGTTATTCTGATTCTGTCAGTTGCAGAGCGTTTTTGTCGACCTTGAGAGGAGGTGCGCTCGACTGGTTCCAGTAGCTCCCTCATGGATCGATCGCAGATTTTTACGCGAGTGATGTAGCGCAGGAGAAGACGTATTTGACTTTGATGGCCATGAGGCAGGGGGAGAAGGAGTCGCTGCACAAGTACGTGGCTCGATATAATCAAACTTGTTTGGAAATCCCCACGGCTGCTGACGAGGTAAAAGCTGGAGGGTTGATAAGGAGTCTACGAGCAGGGCCCTGTCGAACATCCCCGGCCAAAACCCCTACTCGTACATATGACGATGTCTTGAAGAGATGCAAGAAGTATATTAATCTGGAGGAAACAGAGGCGGAGTTTGCTAAGTTGGAGAAGTTGGCTAAGCCAGAGCCCAAGAAGGGGAGAGCGAACTCACCAAGGAGGAGATCGCCCAGGAGAGAAGGGCGTGGCAGGATGGATCGAGGACGGAAAGATAGGTGGAAGGATCGACCAGTATTTGGAGGAAAGCTGTTCCATAACTTTACTCCGCTGAACGCAAAGATGGGAGAGGTGTTGGTAGCCATTGAGAAGAAGATAGATGACAAAGATGTGACGTGGCCTAGGTCGAGGCATGAATGGCCGACACAGCCCAAATCTAAGAGGTACTGCCGTTTTCATAAAGATTGTGGGCATACGACGGAGAAGTGCAGACACCTCAAAGATGAGATCGAGCTCCTCATTAGGGCGGGGCATCTCAAGGAGTTTGTCTACGAGGACAAGGCGAAGGGAAAGGAAAAAGGGAGATGTCAAGAAGATTTGGTGGAGAGAAGTGATCGAGATGATGATGAGGAAGATGAGCCTCGAGGAGGAAGAGGTGATCGAGGAGGTACTGGGGGTAAGAGGAGACGAGGGAGTAGAGATCGAGGAGGTCAGGAGGACCAGGGTCCCGTAAAGAGATGGACGATATATATGATTTCAGGAGGACCGACTGATGGAAACTCGAACAATGCGAGGAAGGGGCATGTTCGAGCGATGAAGAGAAAGAGAGAGGAGGTGGGGATTACTGCTTGAATTCCAGAGATAAGTATTCAGGCAGAGGATGCTGAGGGAGTGGTGTTGCCCCACAATGATGCATTGGTGATTACGGCGGAGGTGGCAGGCTTTGACGTGAAAAGGGTATTCATTGATACCGGGAGTTCGGTGAACGTAATGTTTTATGATTGTTTTGTGCAGATAAACAAGGAGCTCAATCTCGAGCTAAAGCCGGTGACCACAGCCTCGTACGGATTAAATAGAGGTGAAGTGATGTCAATGGGAGAGGTGAAACTATCTTTCACATTGGGGAAAGGAGCGACAAGGAAGGTAAGGATGGTAAGGTTTGTGGTCGTAGGTGCGGAGTCATCGTACAACATCATAATGGGGAGGACCAGTTTGAATGCGTTCCAGGTGGTCGTATCGACGTACCATATGACGATTAAATACCCAGTGGGCGAAAACGTTGGTGAGGTCGCAGGGGGATCAGCTTACCTTGAGGAGTTGTTATCAAACCACGGTGAGCAACAATAAGCAGCTCTCGAGGAAGCAGGTGAAGTCAGAAGAGGGAGCACTGAATCGACCTGGGAGTTCGAGGTCGAAGGAGGAAAATGAGAAGGCGGATAAAAGGAAGGAGAAGGTGGAGATGCAGCCAGGGGGTGAGATTGAGGAGATTCAAATGGTGGAAGGTTGCGAGGAAAGGAAGTTTCGAATAGGGAAGGAGTTGGAGGAGCCCATAAAGTCGAAGTTGATTGGGTTGATAAGGGAGTTTGCGAATTTTTTCGCATATACTGCGGAGGAAGTTGACGGGTATAAAGGCAGAGGTAATCGAGCATAGGTTGAATATCGATCTTTCTGTGAGACCGGTGAAACAGAAAAGGAGGAACCATGGAGCGGAGATGGATAAGGTGACCGAGCAGGAGGTCGAGAAGTTATTGAAGGCGGGTCATGCTAAGGAGATTCAATTCCCCGAGTGGTTGTCCAATACGGTGATGGTGTCTAAGTCTGGAGGCAAGTGGAGGATGTGCATTGATTTTCGTGATTTAAACAAGACGTGCCCCAAAGATCTGTATCCATTGCCTAGGATCGACCAACTGGTCGATTCTACTGCGGGGTGTGAGTTGC